TCATTTAAGACTTTATAACTCATTTAAGACTACGTTTACAAGGTAACTCGCCAAAACCGCGCATTTTGACGTAATTGTTTGTGTTTTCGTGCGTTGTAACGCTACTGGTGAGCTGTCTGAAGCGGCTCAGCGAATGTGTACAGCCGAATGCGCAGCCTTTCAAACTATACTTCACTGCACCGTTTAGGCGGCGTAACCCCAGGTATGTGTCGCCCGAATTCTTGGGTTATGAGGAATAAAGATTAAAATTAGGATGTTCACATCTTAAAAGGGAAGTGCATGAGTGAGACCAACGTTGATTTTTACCTGATTTGGCGCTTGGCGAGTGTTAATTTTAGGCCCTGTATGTACATAATACTAATTTTACTATGGGGAGTTTGAGTATGTTATTTATATAAATATGGCCTTATAGGTAACATATATGACAATATCACTTTTTTTAAAGATTTTATTTTTGCCATTTTTAAAATAGGGTAGTGTAGAGTAGACAGGAAGCAAAGTTGGAGAGAGAGAGATGGGTGGGATCAGGAAAGGTCCTCGAGCCGGGATCCGAACTCGGGACGCCAACAACGCAATATCGTTATATGTCGGCGCACTGCCCACTAGGCTATCGGCACTGTCATGGCAATATCACTCTTGTTATAGCAATATAGGTCATATATTACATTTACATATGGGTGTTTTCCAGTTTCCATTCTGTTTTGTAAAATAATGATTGTTAACAGTGAACCTGATCATTGAACATTCAAAAAAGAGAAATGTATTTGTTAGTGGCTGTATTTAAACACTTCATCCTACAGTACATCCGTCTCACCACATGTCATATGACGTGAGTGTGAAGATGGCTTGTCATGGATGGCCAGCTGATTTCATCTGACATGATTGTGTCGCAGTGAGGTGTCAAGACACCAAATACATGAACCTCACCTCTCGGGGCATCAAAGGCAGAGTTGATAAAGTGATAAAACATTATCTGTCTGAAGTAGGAGTCTGAAGTATCATCTGTCTTTGTGGCCTTAATAACTCTAAAGAATAATACGTCTGACACTCATGTTCAGTGTTCAAATACAATATTAAAAATGTATGTGTGATTAATTAGCACAGCATAAAAATATCAGAGTTGCTGTAGTGAATTACGACAAACACAAAGTCTGTCTTTCTCCCCCTACAGGCTGCTTCGAGTGTTGCATCAAGTGTCTGGGCGGTGTCCCTTACGCCTCTTTGGTGGCCACCATCTTGTGCTTTTCGGGTGTTGCTCTGTTCTGCGGCTGTGGGCATGTGGCACTTACGGGCACTGTGACCATGGTGGAAAACCACTTTTCTCGCGTCACCTCTGACCATGCTGCTCTCACTGATGTGTAAGTGTGTTCGTATAAACAGCCATTAAATACACCAAATACCATAAATACTAACTTCCCAATGATAGTTGTTTGTTTATTTAGATCACTACTGTGAGTTGCGATGATTATTAGAGGTATATTTAAAGCAAATTTTGAGGTTATCTTTTTCTGTCTGTTTGCATTCATGTCTATGACATGTTCAAGGGTGACTATGTGCTGAGTAATGATCTCTAGAATGCCAGCAAATAACTGGCAGTACTTTCTGTTCCATCATGTCATCTGGAGCTTTACTGGGGACTGGTTGACCTAATTAATGCAGCCTAAAAATCTTTTAACGGATTTGAATATTAGAAGCATATTAGTTATGTATAAGCCAGGTTGAAGAGATGGGTCTTTAATCTAGATTTAAACTGCAAGAGTGTGTCTGCCTCCCGAACAATGTTAGGTAGGTTATTCCAGAGTTTGGGCGCTAAATAGGAAAAGGATCTGCCGCCCGCAGTTGATTTTGATATTCTAGGTATTATCAAATGGCCAGAGTTTTGAGAACGCAGCGGACGTGGAGGACTATAATGTAACAAGAGCTCGTTCAAATACTGAGGTGCTAAACCATTCAGGGCTTTATAAGTAATTAGCAAGATTTTAAAATCTATACGATGTTTAATAGGTAGCCAGTGCAGTGTTGACAGAACCGGGCTAATATGGTCATACTTCCTGGTTCTAGTAAGAACTCTAGCTGCTGCATTTTGGACCTATTGACCTATTGCCTTTAATTTCCTGTGTACATCTTTACTGTCAGTGGCCCTGATCAAATCTGCCAAGAGTACATCTGCATCCCCCACATAAAAGTCAAATCAATCACTGCCGCAATTGTTTACTGAGCAAGAACTCTGGGAAATGTGATCTTAAATAAGCTATGACTATACTTTGGTATCATTTCATCTAAATTGATATATTTTCATGCATTTTAATTTGAAAGGAACAAGTGCCAGTAGAATAAGAAAATCTCTATTTGTCCTTAAAAATATTGGATAATGTTGAGAGATTTATGCCCACCCTGGATCTCTTACATTAACACATTCACTATAGTTAAATTTTTCCTTTGTTATACAGGGTTCAGGTTTTGCAGTACATCATCTATGGAATCGCCTGTTTCTTCTTCTTGTATGGCATCATCCTATTGGCTGAAGGCTTTTATACCACCAGTGCTGTCAAAGAGATGCACAGCGAGTTCAAGACCACTGTGTGTGGACGCTGCATCAGTGCCATGGTGAGGCCAGTGCGCACATACAAGCATGGACATACAAAATAAAAACCCAGTCTCACTGGAAAAATATTCCTCTACCTATGTTTCTGCAAAACTCACAAAAACGTACCGACATAAAACTTTTTTTCCTTTTCACACAAAGTATGGTTACAGGGGCAGGTTTTTGATTAATAAAGACTTATTTTCACACATTATTTTCTTTGCACAGTACTATGTTATTATGGCCTCAGACACTTTTACCATAATGCATGATTTGTAAACTAACACATTTTGATGTTTGCATCACACAACCAGCTCCATATGTTTGGCATTTGTTTTGACAGCGTAAACTTGCTCAGAATCTCACCCGGTACAGCATTTTACTTGTGATGTGTAGAGCTCAAGTACGAATCCTCCTCAAAGACCTGTAGAAGTAAGCTAAAATGGCATCATTTTTTGAGCAAATGCATTTTTATCTCACGTTTGCTTTTGTTAACACTATCGGTTATGTTTACGGCAGGGTTTAGTGTAGTGTTTTCAAACATTAAAGAACATTAACCCTTTAGAGCCACTCACTTTCCGAACTGTTGTGATACATAGAAAAACCTATGTATAACTTGTAATTTGCATTTTGCAGATATATCGCCACAGGCACATTTAAAAAAAATAGACTTACACATAATTATATAAACGTGCATGCTCATACGAATGCATTTCCCCCATCCATAAACATTAGGGGTGGTTGATTGTGATTTCACTTTTTTTTTACTTTAATTAGTTTGTAATGTTTCTGTTTGAGAATAAACAATATCTGCAAAGTTACGACGCTGAAAGTTCGATGCAAATGGAGATAATGTCTTTTAAAATAATGGCAGTTTAATGCCTGCAGTTACAGCTCGTAGGGACTACAACGAGCTTCTTTCCAGGTTGGTGACATCACAAAAAAAATCCCTGAAATTTACATAAACCCCGCCCCTGGGAACATGCAACAAAGGGGGTGAGGCCATGTTGCGCTGCTTTAGAGAAGAGGAAGAGTTGTTGCCATGCCGTCAAAACTAGGGGTGCACGAAAAAATCTATTCATATATGAATCGCGATTCTGTCTTCTAACGATTCTAATGGATTCACAAGTTTCAAAATCAGTGTTCTAAAAGCAGCGGTTCTTAAGCTGTGCTTGCACAGGTTCTGCATGATCCTCTTCACTAATATTCTCAGGGTCTCATTCGGGATTAAATTGATAAGCAATATTGATGACGCCATTGTTTACAATACAACACCGGAGCACATGCCACTGAGGTGAGGGGCGTGACGTTTCTGAACGTCCACTTGGCGGTTTAGCGAATCACAACACACTGGGCCAGCTAACCAATCTGAGCCCATTGCGTATTTCTGAGGGAGGGGCTTCATAAAACCAGGAAATCATCAGAGCGTTCATAAGAGAAGGGACAGAATAAATGTAAATTATGTGAAATATAATGCGTTTTGTTTAAAACAAAGCATTAACACATTAGACTGCACCCCATAAACACAATCAAGCCTAGAAAAAAGCAGTCAACCACCCCTTTAATGCTAGATTTGGCATATTCACACACACATACACACCCACTGTACATACATAGGCCAATCCCAACCCTTGAGGACAGATCTGGCACGATCAGTGCTATATACCCCAGTTGCTTTAATCACTGCAGATGTCCAGTAGCATCCATCTTTAAAGCCTTTAGGCCATGTATGCATGCGTCAAGCATTAGTCTGGAAAACATGTGTGTATGTTCACATGAGTGAGTGTGATAATCAAGTGGCAACACATCCAAGGTGATCTGGCGGTAAATAGGTCATGATTCTGGGTCACATTCATACAGTATGCACTGCAGGATTTAAAAACGATGAGATTATTCTAGTCATCATAATATTAGATATGTGGATATTGAATGGATATGCGAGCATGAGAGGCTAACAACCTTCTCTCTCTTTTTTTAAGTTTGTGTTCCTCACCTACATTCTGGGCTTGGGATGGCTGGGCATCTTTGGCTTCTCTGCGGTGCCCGTTTTCCTGTTTTATAACATGTGGACCACATGTGGAGCCATGAAGTCCCCTATTGCCAATCTCACCTCTGTGGACAACATCTGTGTCGATGTGCGGCAGTATGGTAAAAACCTTGATTGTCCTCAACCGTGAACCAGTGGGTAATACTTGGTTGTATTTAGTTGCAATATCAACATCACTTTACAATGTAAGGAGTGAGTTATTCTAATGGAATGCAGCTGTTGAGATAAATCTGTCAGTGTACACTTCCTTTAAAAAAAATACAATCAGATGTTTCCTTCTCTTGCCTTTACTGAAACCCCTAACAGTGGGAATTTTTTGTTATTTTGTTTTCAGAATTGTGATTTGCTTTGCACTTCACGGCCACCGTAGTACATACATATATATGTATTTCATTTATTTAATTTTTATATTTATATTTAATATATATTTTATAATTATAATTATTCAAGTTTATTGCTTTATTAGTCCTTTATAACCTTTTAGATTAATGTATGTGATGCATATAATCATTTTCAGGAATCATCCCATGGAACGCTACTCCTGGTAAAGCCTGTGGCTCCACGCTAAGCGACATCTGCAATACTAGTGAGGTAAAGTTACTTCATTTTTCCCTGAAGATCACCACATATGTATTGACAGGAAGATCTTTTCTGTTCATGTCTACATGTTTACTTGTAAAGCCTAAAACATTAAATAATAGTTGAGTTTTTTTTTGATGGAACAGTTTTTTGAAACTTTAGACAAAATCTAAAAAGAAAAAGCTTGTATATGTGTTTATGTTGAGCTTTTATGGCTCATATGCTATGAGACACTGAGAATATTGGGGGGGGCCTTTATATGGCTTAAAATAAGAAATTCTGATAGCCTGTAATGTAAATCAATGAGATCTTTATAAGAGTATAGCAGACTACTTACATTATATAAATCGATGTCACTCTATATGCAAACTTAAAAAAATATGTCTTAGAAAAAGATGATATTTAAATGCTTATTTGTTTTTTTTTGTTTTTTTGTTTTATGAAAGCTCTGTGGTTTCAAAACATATAATGCAATGCAATGATGATCAAACATCCCTCAAAAGCCTGATGGATCATATTTGATATATTTGAACATGATTTTTCAAAAATGATGTATGGATAATCAAGTAAACCTGAGTCACTTCACTATTATTATTTTGAAACGTTACTAACAATATCAAAGTAATTCTTAGGTTTACCTTATAAAAATCAGAAAAGATTTCACAAAAAAAAAAAAAAACTGAACCACGACCTGAATGTTTTTACAATTTTCAATTATCAATCAAATTGACAGAAGGCACGTAGTAGATTGTGTGCAACAGGTTTGACAGCAAATTCTGTTCATGTTGATTATTCAGAGTCCTTTGTGTATCAAATATGATACAGTAGGCTTTGTAGGGTTAAAGATACTTTTTTGTACCTTTTTAAGGAATGTTGATTTGTATTAATTTGACAAGACTTGTTTATCCTTTAAAAAATATATACTTTTTAAAGGAAAGGTTTAATAGGTACAGTTTATTTTGAATTAGGAATATTACATTTTTGTGAGGCAAGGTCTATAGCTCTGTTAGTTGTGTTTAATGGATTTCCTAAACTCTTTTTATTACAGTTCTATCTGTCCTACCATCTTTATATTGTTGCCTGTGCTGGAGCTGGAGCCACTGTGATCGCACTGGTAAGAGTTCATAATGTTCATTTGTTCACTTGTTCATTTCATACATATTTTCTTAATTTCATACAGTCGTGTGAAAAAGTTAAGACACCCTCTTGAATTCCATGGTTTTCCGTATCAGGACAAAATTAAAAAATATCTGGTCCTTGACAGGTCTTACAATTTGGAAAATAAAACCTCAGATGAACAACAACACATGACATACTGCACCGTGCCATTATTAATTTAACAAAAATAAAGCCAAAATGGAAAAACCATTTGTGACGAACTTAGGACACCCTTACAGTTAACATAGGAATTAAGAGGGTAAGTAAAATCTGACATTATGAGGTGAAATAATTATTAATATTTTTGGTTCCTCTAAAACCAGAAACTCTATAGTTAGTAACTTAGACAGTCTCACTCCATATGTTAAGTCACATGCAAAAAATGTAGGTGTTATTTTTGACTCTGAGCTTTGCCTTGAAAAGCAAATTAGCTCAGTTGTTAAAAACAGCTATTATCAATTGAGAATCATTTCTAGACTTAAATCAACACTTTCCTTTCAAGACTTGGAAAAAGTTATTCATGCATTTATCACATCACGATTGGACTACTGTAATTCCTTATACCTAGGCCTTCCCCAATCTTCATTGGTTTGTTTGCAGATGGTCCAGAATGCAGCAGCCAGATTGTTAACTGGTGCAAAAAAGCGTGATCATATCACTCCAATTTTAGCGTCACTCCACTGGCTTCCGTAGGAAGATTATTCACAAGTGGAAGACATTCAAAACAGACACCAATCCTCCCAGGAATGGACGTCTCAGCAAAGTCACCCCATGATCAGACCGTGTAACACTCAGAGAAATGGCAGACAACCCAAGAACTACACCGCAGACTCTACGGGCCCCTGTGAAATGATAAAGTTCATGACAGTACAATTAGAAAAATATGTGACAAGTATGGCATGTTTGGAAGGCTTGCCAGAAAAAAAGCCTCTTCTATCTAAAAAAAGCATGGCAGCACAGTTTAAGTTTGCAAAGTTGCATCTGAACAAATCATAAGACTTCTCGAGCAATGTCCTTTGAACAGATGAGACCAAGGTGATGTTTGGCCATAATGCGGAAAACCTAAAGAACATTTCAGCGCCCTCAAACCTCAATAAACTGGAGCAACGTTGTAAAGAAGAGTGAGACGAAATTCCTCCAGAATGATGTGAGAGAGTCATACAGAAAATGATTAATTCAAGTTATTGCTGCTAAAAGTGGATCTACAGGCAATTGAATCAAAGGGTGTCCTAACTTTGTCACACATGGCTTTTCCATTTTGACTTAATTTTTGTTAATTAAAAAATAGCACAGTGTGATATGTAATGTGATGTTGTTCATCTGAGGTTTTATTTTCAAAATTTTAAGACCAGATCATTTTTTATGATGTCCTGATACAGAAAACCATGAAATTCAATAGGGTGCCCTAACATTTTCACATGACTGTACATACATATATATGCTAACCATAAGACTTCTAGAACAATGTCCTTTGAACAGACAAGACCAAAATGGAGATGTTTGGCCATAATGCACAGCACCACATTTGGTGAAAACCTAAAGAGCATATCAGCACAAACACCTCATCCCAAAAGATACACATGCTGGTGGAGGGCTGATGATTTTGGGCTTGGTTTGTAACCACAGGACCTGGGCACCTCAACAGTCATTGAGCCGACCATGAACTTTGTATCCCAAAGTATTCTAGAGTCAAATGTGAGGCCATCCGTTCGACAGCTAAAGCTTGCCCAAGATTGGGTGATGCAACAGCACAATGATCCCAAGAAAACCAGCAAATCTACAACAGAACGGCTGAAAATAAAAGAATCAAGGGGTTACAATAGTCCAGTCAAAGTCCAGAGCTCATCCTGACTGAACTGCTGTGATGAGAGCTGTGCATAAACAAATGCCCTCAAACCTCAATAAACTGGAGCAACGTTGTAAAGAAGAGTGAGACGAAATTCCTCCAGAATGATGTGAGAGAGTCATACAGAAAATGATTAATTCAAGTTATTGCTGCTAAAAGTGGATCTACAGGCAATTGAATCATAGGGTGTCCTAACTTTGTCACACATGGCTTTTCCATTTTGACTTAATTTTTGTTAATTAAAAAATAGCACAGTGTGATATGTAATGTGATGTTGTTCATCTGAGGTTTTATTTTCCAAATTTTAAGACCTGCCAAGGACCAGATCATTTTTATTATGTCCCGATACAGAAAACCATGGAATTCAATAGGGTGTCCTAACTTTTTCACATGACTGCATCTAGAATAATTTTCTTTGATGTTAAAAACTATGTAAAATTGCTTAGGAAAGAATTGCTCTGTGAAGAGAAATTGGTACAATATAGAGCTATAATATTGAATTGTGTCATCAGTTTAGAATCTTTATAGGCACAGATTGAACAACTGTACTTTCGGTTTTCGAGGGATGTGGTGCAACTTCTATTGTAAAGTTGCTATTGTGCATCTAAAGCTGTTTGGTCTCACCCACTGGTTTGTCTCTTTTCCATTCAGCTCATCTATGTGATGGCCACAACGTATAACTTTGCAGTGTTGAAGTTTAAGAGCTACGACCACAGTCACACCACTAAGTTTTGAGCTTTTTGTATAAGGGCAACTGCAAAGTCTGTGAAAGTTGCTCTCAGAGACAGAGTCAGAAAGATAGAGGGAGGACCTGAGTAAGTAAAAGAGGTCAGGAAAAAGGCAAAGGAGAGAAATAAATTGAGAGTTCATAGCATGGGCCTTGATGTATAGACAGTGTAGTGCATATTAATGGTAATGTCTAATGTTCAATTAATTTGTATCTTTGTGTTTCTATACTAATTTGACAAGGTGTGATCTCTTGACAAAACAAGGACAATACATCATACTCACTTAATGTTTTACATACATTTTTACCTAGGCACCAATTCATATAAAGTATAGCACCCATGACCAATCCAGAATAATGTAGCTTATTTACAGTTTAAGAGAAAACGACTTTAGTAGTGAGAATGTAACTCTCTGTTAGTCCAACAACACCTAATGGACAGGATTAAAACTAGAAAATAATACTATTTGGTAATGATGTCTCTCCATTGGATCATATCCACCCTGAGGCACCCGCAGTCCAGAACCCAGCCAGATAGAAAAAGCAAGTGAAGTACAGTAGATGAGAATTGCTGTTGTGAAAGGTATTAAGAATGTTGTGTTTATGCTCATAAACATTTATTCTATGCTACATGTACCTGTGAAGGGTGTGACTGTACTTTTAACTCTTTATGAGATGTTTTTCAGTCATGGAATTGACTCTAAAAATGCTATTGTTTTTCAGAGCCTTTGTTTTAGATTCATCGGACTACTACCTAGTCTAATATTATGTTTAATATTGAATTCAGACAGCATATAGTTTTTGCCCTTTGTATTATTCTCAAAGCAGTATAGTTCCTGTTTTCAGAAATAATGTGAAATAAACAATTATTGTGGAGATGCTAATTTCTCATTATTTAGTAGTTTTTTTTTTGTTTTTTTTTACATTTCTTTGGAAATCAGTAGTTCTTCTTACATCATCTTTTATTTACTAACTGCTAACTCATGAAATAACCCGATTTCCTGTGATGCCGGATACACTGAAAAAAAAAGTAAAAACAACCATGCCATTTATTTAAAGTGCATTTTTGTATTGTTGTAATCAGAAATAACAATTTCTGGTTTAAACCTGTTTTGTTCAGTTTGTCTAAAACCAAATAACACTTGGTTTTTAAACAGTTTTTTTAAACAGTAAAAATGTAATTTAAAAAAAATGTAAACAGTATTTTTGCTGGACTATGGTAGTCATTTTAGCATCGAGATACTATTTTTAATATGTCTATGTAGTTTTCTTTTTTTTTTTTATTGCAGTTTTAGTTTTAGCTATTTTAGTACATCAAGATAAACTAAATAAAAAAGAATATTACTTTGTGGCAACTAAGTAAAAATAAGTACATTTTAAAATAAATAAAAAATAAATAATCAGTTAAAGTCACAAAAAAAATTATGATTTTAGGGTTAGTTAACTATAATAACCCTGCATGACACCAGAGTGTTTATATATAGGACACATACTGATTAGCTTAAATATTTTTAGTATATAATAGAAAATGTAATGCATATTTAAAAAAAAAACCCACACAATTAAATACATATTATATTATGCCGACATTATGTAATATTTTGCTTTATATCTAAAGATGTACAGTAAAAGATGTATAATATTAATTCATAATATTGTATTATATATAATAAATATGAATAAATATAATTTCTTATTAAGCATAATATAAAGTTGGTCCATTTTTTCAGTGTATTCCGATCAACTAATATTGATTTCTGTGTGGCGCAGCTATCACTGAGATTTAGGTACTTAAGTGATTCTTAGAGCAACTAATTAATACTGTCTTAACTCGTATAGCTGGCTTTGGCTAACTAACCCACTCATGACTAATCCTTCCCTCCACCTGTTTCTTCCTCTTTCTTTCTTTCTTTCTCACTTTCTGTCACTCTTTCTATTTTGTCTGTCTCCTCCCCTTCTCTACCGTCCACAGATCCACTACCTGATGATCCTGGCAGCAAACTGGGCCTATCTCAAGGGACTGTGTCAGCAGACTCATGCCTACCAGGACATCAAAACCAGAGATGATCAAGAGCTGCAGGATGTGCAGTCACGCTCCAAGGAGGGTCTAAACTCCTCCTACTCATAAACAGTTCTCCCAACTCTTATCTACCCAACCTCTATCTAACCTGCTCTTGAATACACACACACACACACACTTGCCACCCTCAGATGAAACACTATACGCAAACTAACACTGCTAAGCGCTGCGCTATCCTGACTATACATCATAACAGTGGGATAAGTTAGTTATAATCATGATGAAACATGTCAGGCAAGATATTGAACATCTGTAACAAATGATGAGTGGAATTATGCAGTTAATGGTGATATGATGTGTTTTGCTCATCTCCTTCATGGTGCAAAAGACCACTGGTATAAAAGTGTATGTATTCTAGTATCGTACTGTCATTTTGCAAGTATTTCTGAATTGCTAGAAAGTGTACGTACAGTGTAGAGTCATGGTTATAACTGGGTTATGTTTGGTTTTATGATGCATTGTCTTGGTGAAGCGCTGCTTACATGATAGCCTGTCTGTCTGCACTAACTCCTCACAGACATTTTGCAGGAACTTCCTTTTTTTTGGTGTTTTATACATTTATAAATATATATATATATATTAGGGGTGTAACGGTACACGTATTCGTACCGAACCGTTTCGGTACGCGTCTTTCGGTTCGGTACGCATGTGTACCGCACGAATACAGTTTTTTTTTTTTTCTTTTCAGGAAATTCAAATAATAAATGCCGTTTTGACCGTCTTTTATGTGGCATGACAGATCGCTGTATAAACGCCTTAGAGAGCCGCTTCTGGGACGGTTCAGAAACGTGCTGGTATAATCCCAACACAAGCACTGACTATAGCGGCCGCGATCAGCTCCGGTTCCCGTGTCTGAGCCGTGACGCCCCGCAGAGCGGAGCGCGAGTGAACGCGATCATTCCTTCCTCTGTACTACTAGTTTTAACGCGAATAAACATGACTGAACATCTCATGCCTCATGTAATTGCTCAATCAGTGTTTCAACCGCGGAAAGACATCAACAATACAGCGTGGAAATAAAATGTCACGTAGCATTTAATTTACCTCAGCAAGTCATCAGTGTCCACAGCTCGTTAGTTCACTAGAGAAATGAAGTCTAGAGAGGAGCATTTTGCGAAATATTACACCATATACTCATTATATTTTACTAAACCTGTTAGTCTTAATTACTTAATGTACAGTATGTTTAAATTAATCTGTTATGAAACATGCTATGACAGCCATTGTGTTATTGAATATATTTGAACAAATAGCTTAGAAATTGTATTATTTATTAGTTAATTTAAAAACTGCATTATGTGCAATTTACATGTTTGCATACAATTTTTTTTTTTTTAAAGTTGAGTGTTGATCATCTATTTAAAAATAAATAGCAATTAAATTTAAGTTTGGGTTAAGTTGTTAGGCCTAATTGTAACCTTATAATGTAAAAGGGCTCCCTATAGTTTTAAGCATAAGCTGAGGTAGATTTTTATCACTAAGAAAATGTAAACTATAACTGAATGTATTTAAAGAAAGAGCAACTTGTTCAGTAAACCATTACAAAAAAAAAATATATATAAATAATTTCCCCCCCCTGCTGTACCGAAATCATACCGAACCGTGACATTAAAACCGAGGTACGTACCGAACTGTCATATTTGTGTACCGTTACACCCCTAATATATATATATATATATATAAATGTGTGAAAGTGAATGAATGTTGTTGTTGTTGTTTTTTTAATTATGTGTATTGAAAATGTCTGTTTATTTAGAATTTTTCTCTGGTCTCTATGGCTATCTTAGATTTCTGAATTCACCTTTTTCCAACTCTCTTTCTTACTTTATTTTTTGGAGGGGGTGGGGAACAATACCGGTTCTTGACAAATTGCACTAATCTTGTAATAGAAAGCAGGTGTATTAACACACACACACACATGCACATAAATAAAAAAAAAATCTCTTTAAAGGATGTTTCCTCAAAGCTGTCAATCTTGAGTATCATTATCAAGCAGTCAACCTTCAAAATGATATTCTGAAAACTGTATCTGACTGATATAAATCTGACAGGCTAAAAAAATGTAGATGTTTGTTTAATAATAATTTAAAAAAATGAACTAATGCTAAATTATCAACTAATAATGTCTAACGTAAACTGCCCTCGTCGGCTATACAGGTTACATACTTTCCTTCAGTTTTATTGATAAATCTAGGCATTTTTCAGTCTTCTAAAATTCGTTCTTATGGCAAGATTGATGTTTACCATGAGTTTAATGAGATGATTGTGACTCCTCTGTGTGAGTTATTGCTATGTGGATGTGAAACTCTGAAAATGGTTAGAATTTACAGTCAATAATGCAGCCTTGTTTTTGCAGTGTAACTTTTTCCTAATTGGTCTCTCTCTCTTTCTATTACTACTTTTACAATATGACTCTTTTTATTGATCTGTCTTTTAACTAAAATAATTCTTCTCTGTAATGTCTCTGTAAATATAAGCATGTTAGTATTGTCCACATATACAGTTGTTTGATACCAATTAGGCTATATGCCGTTTCTTGCTGTATGTTAAATTCTGTTAAAGGGAACTTAAAGGGATGTGTAAGAAGTTGATCGATTTACCGTTTTTGAAAAAAGAAGATGCGTGTGCCTGGATGTTCTATTGTTCCCTGATTATTGCATGAAGGAGAGATATTTCATTTCGTTTTGCAGTACTGTAAGTGATATGTAGTCCATTGTTCTAATGAACTACAATTGACAGTGTCCCACTTCTCCCCGAAAAACAAACCACTGTATGTTATTGGAAATTGTAGTCTTAGATGTTTCATAGTCGATTTTATTTGAAGTCAGATGTTTTATGAATCATGTATAGTGATTTTTGTAACCTTCTCTAGTAAAATATTTTCTATGATCTATATGAACTCTTTTGTGCTTGTTATTTTAAAAAAGCTCATGTGCAAGAGATTCCTCTTCATATCTTGGCCAAACTGACTTATAACTTCACTGCATTAACATCATTTCAACTTTAAAGGGGTCATATGATGCGATTTCATTTTTTCCTTTCTCTTTAGAGTGTTACAAGCTCTTGGTGCATAAAGAAGATCTGTAAAGTTGCAAAGACTAAAGTCTCAAATCCAAAGAGATATTCTTTATAAAATTTAAGAGTTAGCCACACCTACCTAAAACGGCTCGTTCGAACACGCCCCCACATACAGTGGGGCAAAAAAGTATTTAGTCAGCCACCAATTGTGCAAGTTCTCCCACTTAAAAAGATGAGAGAGGCCTGTAATTTTCATCATAGGTATACCTCAACTATGAGA